ACAAACCATATCATGACCTGATCTGAAGTCGGATGCTCCACTGACTGAGCCACCCAGGTGCCCCCATAGTGACTTCCTTTAAAAGAGGGTAACAATGGAGAAGGGTCAGAGGAGAAGAGTATCAACAGTGGAGAAACCTGACACAAACATTGCAGTGATAAGTCATGTTGATAGCATGTCCCTGTGATATGATACGATGGAAACAGCACTTTATCTCTGCACTCCTCCTCCCCAAACCCATAAAACCCAGTCTAATCAAAAGAAAAATATCAGGTCTATCCCCACAGAGGGATTCTACAAAATACTAGTACTTCTCAAAACTGTCAATATCCTAAAAACAGTCTGAGAAGTTGTCACAGCCAAGAGGAACTTAGGGAGATGTTCTGAAACAGAAATAATAATGGGGTAAAAACTAAGGAAATCTTGGGGGACCTGGGTGGCTGAGTCATTTAAATGTCCTACTGTTGATTTTGGCTCAGGTCATAGTCTCATGGTTCGTGCGTTCGAGCACTGTGTTGTGTTGATCTCTGTGCTGACAGAATGGAGCCTGCTTGGGATTCTCCCTCTCCTCTCTCTCTGCCCTGCCCCTGCTTGCATGCACACACTCTCTCTCAAAATAAATAAATAAACAGTGAAAAAGTTTAAGGAAATCTGAAAAAGCTATGGACTTCAGCTAATAATAATGTATCAGTATTGGTTCATTAATAGTAACAAATATATCAATGTAAGATGTTAATAAGAGAAAAACTAGGTGTGGGGTCTATGGTAATTCTCTGTACTATCTTTGTGATTTTTCTGTAAGTCTAAAATTGTTCTAATAAAGTTTATTCACATTGATCAGCTTTGGTATTTGAGTCAACTGTTCAGCTGGATGAATCGTCTTTTTTAAAAATAGACTTTAGGGGCGCCTGGGTGGCTCAGTCGGTTAAGTGTCCGACTTCAGCTCAGGTCGTGATCTCGCAGTCCGTGGGTTCGAGCCCCGCGTCGGGCTCTGTGCTGACTGCTCAGAGCCTGGAGCCTGTTTCGGATTCTGTGTCTCCCTCTCTCTCTGACCCTCCCCCATTCATGCTCTGTCTCTTTCTGTCTCAAAGATAAATAAACGTTAAAAAAATTTTTTAAAAATAAAAAATAAAAATAGACTTTATTTTTTAGGACAGTTTTTTTTCACTTTTATTTATTTATTTTTTTAACTTTTATTTTTTTAAGTAATCTCTACCCCCAATGTGGGGCTTGAACCCACAACCCTGAGATCCAGAGTCGCATGCTCTACCAACTGAGCCAGCCAGGCACCCCTAGAACAGTTCAGATTGACAGAAAAATTGAGCTGTTAGTACAGTTTCCATAATACTACCTTAACCCCCAGTTTTCTCTATCAATATCTTACATTAGTGTGGCACACTGGTTACAGTGAATGTACCAATATTCACACATTATTATCAACTAAAGTCCACAATCTAAATTAAGGCTCACTCTGTGTTCTACGGTTCTATGGGTTTTGACAAATGTAAAACGTCATATGTGTACCATTACAGAACCGTACAGCATAATTTTACTGCCCTAAAAAAACCTGTGCTTCACCTATTCATCTTGCCTTATGCATTCCCAAGCCCCTGGTAATCACTGATTTGATTTGATTTGATTTTGTACTGTCTCTACAGTTTTGCCTCTTCCAGAATGTCATACAGTTGGAATCATCCAGTATACAGGCTTTTCAGACTGGCTTCTTTCACCTAGTAATATGCATTTAAGGTTCCTCCATGTCCTTTTGTGTCTAGATACCTCATTTCCTTTATTACTGGAGAATACTCCATTGCATGGGTATACCACAGTTTATTTAACCATCCACATACTGAAGGATATCCTGGTTGTTCTCAGGTTTTGGTGATTACAAGTAGACCCGCTATAAACATCCCTGTGCTGGGTTTTGTGTGGACATCAATGATCAACTCGTGTTATTTAGAAACATATTGTTTAATCTCCAAATACGTTGGGATTTTACAGGTACCGTAAAAGTAACATTGTTACTGATTCCTAGTTTAATTTCATTATGGTCTGGGAGCATACTGTGCATGATTTCTATTCTTGTAAATTTTTTCAGATGTGTTTTGTGGCCCAGAATGTGGTCTCTCTTGTTAAATGTTCCATGTAAGCTTCAGAAGAATGCATATTCTGTTGTTGTTGGATGAACAACATGAATTGGCAGAGATGTCAATTAGATCCAGTTGACTGATAGTGCTTTTCAGTTTAACGATATGCTTAAACTGATTTTCTGCCTGCTGGATCTGTTACTGACAGAGGGGTGTTGAAGTCTCTAAGTATAATAGTGGATATATAATTGTGGGTTTGTCTGTTTCTCCTTGTAGTTCTATTAGGGGTTTTTTGCTGCATGTCTTTTGACTCTCTTCATACACATTAAGGATTGTTGTGTCTTCTTGGAAGACTGATCCCTTTATCATTATGTAATGCCCCTCTTTATCCCTGTGTGAAGGACTGGTATTATTTTTTTACAATATTCAACAAAATTCATCATGAAGGCATCTGGCTTCTTTATGAGCAGATTTAAAAACTACTAATTCAGTTTCTTTACTTGTTATAGGGCTATTCATATTTCTACTTCTTCTTGAGTCTATTTTGGTAATTTGTCTTTCTAGAAATTTGTCCATTTCATCTAAGTTGTCTAACTTGTTGGAATAAAGTCACTTGTGGTATCTCTTTATAGTTCTTTTAACTGCCTTTTCCTTTTTCACTCCTGATTTTGAGTATTTGTTTCTTTTCTCTTAATTTCTTGGTAAGTCTTGCTAAAGGATTGTCAATTTTGTTGATTCTTTCAAAAAACCAACTTTTGATTTCATTAATGTATTTTTTTTCTATCTTCCATTTCATTGATGTCTGCTCTAATCTTTACTCTTTCCTTTCTCTGCTTGCTTTCCATTTAGTTTGCTCTGTTATCTAGTGTCTTAAGGTGGAATTTTAGGTAATGGATTTGAGACCTTTCCTTTTTTTCTGACATGTTTTCCATGATATATTTATAGCTATAGGTTTCACCCTAAGTACTATGTTAGCTGCATTCCATACATTTTGACATTTTATATTTCATGTTCATTCATTAGATAGATAGATAGATAGATAGATACAGCTTCACACTTAGCATGGAGTCCAGTGTGGGGCTTGAACTCACTACCCTGAGATCAAGATCTGAGCTGAGATCAAGTCGGATGCTTAACTGACTGGGCCACCCAGGAGCCCCTTTTCCAAAATATTTTAAAATTTCTCTTGTGATTTATTTCTTCTTTGACCCATAAGTTTTTAGTGTGTACTGTTTTTTTTATCCAAATATTTGAGGTTTCTCATATTTTTTTGCTACTGGGGATCTTAATTCAATGTGTCAGAGAACATACTTGGTATGGTTTCAGTTTTTAAAAATTTATTAAAACTTGTTTTGTGACCCAGCATATGGTTTATAGAGTTGGAAGCATTTTTTAATTTGTTTTATTTTCTATTAAATACTTTTGATTGTGATCTAATTCACATACCATAAAATTCATTCTTTTAAAGTATACAATTCACTGATTTTTAACGTATTCACAAGACCACGTTACTGTCACCACAATCGAATTCCAGAACATTTTCGTCATCCCTAAAAGAAATCTGCACCCATTAGGAGTTACTCTCTTCCTTTTCCCCCATGCCCTAGGCAACGACTAATGTACTTTCTGTTTCTCTAGATTGGCCTATTTCAGACATTTCATATACACAGAACATAAAATATACAGCTTTTCGTATCTGGCATCTTTCACTTGGCATAATGTTTTTAAGGTTCAGCCACACTACAGCATGTTAGTACTTCATTCCTTTTTATGCTGAATAATATTCCATCGTATGGATATACCACATTTTGTTTATCCATTCATCAGCTGGACATTTATGTTGTTTCCACTTTCTGGCTATTATGAATACTACTACGAATGTTTGTGTACAAGTTTTTGTGTGGTGTACATTTTTAAGAAGTATATAATCTCTAGGCCATGAGCTAAGTACCTGTACTCAGGAAACGAGGCTGGAGCATGTATATGTGTGCGTATGTGTTTATCTTTCTATGTGTGGGGCCAACTCAAGTTCCTGTATATTTACAAAGAGTCTTTGGGTTTAAGAAGAGGCCAGAAGGGCTGAGTCAACTCTTAATATCTTAGCTCCAGCCTACATGCTTCAACTCCCCCTGGCTACAATGCCTCCCTTCTGTTCGGAACCACAGTGTAAGTGAGCCCTGCTGGGTGGGAAATGAGGCATGATTTCATGGCCAAAGAAGCCAGTGCACAGATACAGAAACAGTATATATTTCTATGATGCTTTTGGGATGAAAGGAAAAGTGATACGTATCGTTTTGTGATTCAAGAAAAGCAATAGTAAAAACCCTGGTCTCAAGTTAGTGGGGGGAAAAAAATCATCCATCAACCAACGAATGTGATGATGCCCAAATATTACTTTGGTTAGAAAAATAATCCCACATAAACTCCCACTTTTCCCTCCTTTGGATCCTAAAACTTTCATCGCCACACTGCAGCGCATCTGTGGAGAAAAGCATGTGGCGAGCCAGACAGCTGTTCCCCAGTGTCTTGTAGTGTTATTCCTGGCAGTTGGGCCGGTTTGGGCCTTGCTCTGAGACTGCAATTTCCCATTGCCTATCACTTGGCCCTGAAATGTTGTGAGGATTCATCCTCCCTAATCTTCATTCTAAAAATGAATCTGAACCCTCTTTGTTACCTAAGAAGGGAGAAATAGGTGATGTTTCTTTGCAACATTCTGGATAAAGACAGTGAAGTGAGTTGGGAATAAATATAGGAAACCAAAAGGTCAAAAAATATTCTCCAAGAATAAGAGGAATCTGATACAAGGTAAGAGACAGATACACGGTACTTGACTAAAAGTCGGCCTGATCAGGCCAAACAGAACGACATGTGACATATTCAGGTATACTTTTGTTAAGACAAGAGATTCTGTACCTGCTTGTTGAAATATCCTCAAAAGGGTAGAGGATCTCTCCATTGTTACAGATTTCACAGATGAACCCCTTCTGGCTACAAAGACTGCAGCTGTACACGTGTGAGGCGGCAAATTTAATGACCTTGCCCAAGAATGGAGCCAGCTTCCCCTCTATCACCTGCAGAAAGAGAAATGGGACAGGGAAGCAAATTCATTGAGAACAGAAGTCTTGCAGACGCAGGAGGACTGGAATTCCTTTCCTTTACACAACAGGAAAACCTCTAATTATAATTTCTCAGCAACGCTGAGAAAGAAAAGACGTAGTATTTTCACTCCAAAAGAGCTCTCTGGTTTAAACCACTGGAGGTTGGAAAATGAAGATGTTGAAACTTCTTTTGTATTCCTCTTTCTTTGTAGTGTGATACAGGGAGTTGAGGACCAACAAATGGGGAACTCTACTTTCGTAGACCAGCATACCGTTATGGTGTGGCCTAAGTATGGTGTGTTTCCCAAAATAGGACACATACAAGGTAAATATTAATGTTGAATGTTGTGCTGTAAATTCAGTAATCCCTTTCCTCTGATGAGTTAATAGGATAGCTTTTTCACCGTCTCCCCAACAACATGTAACAAATGTGGAAAAATAGGTTTCTTTTGTTGCTGATAAGTATGTTAATATAAAGAGGTTGCAACTTGACCGTCTGAGGGCCACATTCAGCCTGAGGATTTTTTTTTAATCTCTCAGTGTTTTAAAAAGTGAGCCAATTTAATAATTGGGAGATTTCACATAAATACCCATATTTTTGGCTTCTTTTGAAAAATCATTAGATATAGCAAAACTAGGCCTGAATTCCAACATGATGATGATTCTGCCTGTGAGTAGGGGCCATCTGCTCCTACTGAGGCACGTGCTCTGCAGCGGACAGTTGTCCCCGCCAGGCCCTACTGTCTTGTATCTGCCTACCTCCCACTGTTACCTCACCGGTTAGCCTACAAACATCCATGAGTCTGGAGCCAATGTTAGTCAGATCTCGTTGAACTAATACTGCATGAGCTTCAAAGACTTCAGCAGTTCAATACTAACAAGAAAAACATCTGTCTTTACTTCTCTCTCATTAATGCACCTGCATATACATGCTGATTTTGATATAAGAAAAGAATGAACATTAAAGTTAGTTTGGAAGTAGCTGGAAATAACTGGTAGTAGCTGGATCCTTTCAAATAAATACAGAGTTAAAATGACAATTTTACATAAAAATAACATCTGAGGGAAATGTAGTAAGTCATACCTAAAGAGAAATTACAATGTCAAGGTGAATAAATAGCAGTAGCTGATAAAAATAAAAGACTGCAAGGAATCTATTAAAGCATTTTGCAAAAAATGAAGCTCTACCTAATACTGGAGATAAAAAACTCAAAGTGGTTTTTAAACATCATGGAATAATCTCATGTTTTAAAAATGAATATGACAGTAGTTAACTCTAAGGAAGGGAACAAGTTGGAAAAGCAAGTCTTTCATTTTGTATATATGCAGTTCTTTTTATAAGAAACAATGTATACTATTTTTGTATTACGATGCAGAAAGTGAACAGAAAAATAAAGTTCACTGCTTTATAAGAGTGGATTTTTTTCTTAATAAAGGGGGTAGAAATTATGCTGGCTGTTTTTTGAGTTAAGCAGGTACATTTCCACCATTCTTTAACTTACTCTCCTCTCCATTTCCTTTAGAAGCCATAGATAGACCTCCTTTTATTTGTTTTCTCAAGGACCATTAACTTCGATAAACCCCAGTAACAGGTACTCCTAATACCAACACACGATACACACTTTCTAAGAAACAACAACTACCAAATCTTATATCAAACACTTTCCAATGTGTCATAGGGTTAGCTCTAAATTGTGGTAACAATAGTGCAGCTGAGTTTGGTTTTACTTATGTTACTCTTTCCTAAACAAATTAAGGTTAGTGACACATTCAGAGAGATGTTCTAACAAGATATAGTCCATTTAGGGGGGAAACAGCAGTATATAGAAGAGCCTGGAAACCAGGTGAGTAAAGGTTGTTTGAAGGGACAGACGGTGAGAAGGGAAGATATGGAGGAAGACGTGAAAGGAGGATCTAAAGGAGAAGACTGGGCATCTCGTGCATAAAGCTGTTTTTTTTTTTTTCTTTTAGAAAACTTCCTTGAGACAAAGGGTATGAACATTTTGCATTTTGAAGGCTTCTGAAATACTTCAACAAACTTATACTGTCAGAAACGTATTATTTATTCCTACATGCGGACTTTAATAAACTTTAAAAATTAATTTGAGGATCGGTATCTTTATAATATTTATTCTCCCTATCAAAGAACCTTGTCTATATCTCTATTTTATTAAATCTTCATTTGTTATTGCCTAATAAAATTTTCTGGGTTTTTTCCCCCCAGTTTAAGCTACTCACACTACTATTTAGATTATTTCAAGGTTAAACTTTTGTATAATATGCTTTCTTATTAGCTACTGCTTATATATTAGAATATACTGACATTGGGGATATCTTACATATAGCTAAATTACTGAATTTTCATGAATGCAAATCTTTTTTAGGTAATTTCTTGGGGTTTTCTGAAAGTGATAACTTGGCCCCTTCCTTTCTAATATTGTATCTCTTGTGTTTCATGCCTTACTGTATCATCCAGTGATCCTAAAATAATTTTAAGTAATAATGGTGTTAGTGGATATTCTTGGTATTTCAATGAGAATCAAACTGGAAATTATAGAATCTAGAGTGAGTGGCTCATTTTCTCCATCAAACACATATATTGTCATTCACCATATTTATTCACTCCCTCTTTTTTTATTTTTTATTTTTTTTTTCAACGTTTATTTATTTTTGGGACACAGAGAGACAGAGCATGAACGGGGGAGGGGCAGAGAGAGAGGGAGACACAGAATCGGAAACAGGCTCCAGGCTCTGAGCCATCAGCCCAGAGCCTGACGCGGGGCTCGAACTCACGGACCGCAAAATCGTGACCTGGCTGAAGTCGGACGCTTAACCGACTGCGCCACCCAGGCGCCCCTACTCCCTCTTTTTTTAAATAACAGCTTTATTGAGATGTAATTCACACGCCATGTAATTCACCTATTTAAAGTCTACAATTAAGTGTTTTTTAGTATAGTTACAGATGTGCACCATCATCACAGTCAATTGTAGAACATTTTCATCAAGTCTTCCAAAAAAACCTGTACCCGTTAGAAGTTACTCCCATTTGCCCCCTAACCTATCCCTCCTCCCCCAAGCTCTAGGCAACCAATAATCTACTTTTTCTTCTATAGATTTACCTATGTTGGCCATTTCATATCAATAGAATCATACAATATATGGCCTTTTGTGGCTGGCTTCTTTCATTCAGCATAGTGTTTTCAAGATTCACGTTGATTCTTTTTTGAATATCTCTGGTGTAAGTCCCTTCTTCCTGTCTTCCCCAGCCTATTATCACTCTTCTCTAGACTGACGAAATAATCTGCTAGTTTTATTTCTGGATGCCAGCCTTTTCCCTTTGGTCCATCCAGTGTATATACTAATCAGTTTTGGACATCGCTTTTATCAAGTATCATCTCTTCTTTCAAATCTTGGTGAGTTCTTATTTTATCATTAAGAAAATCTCTTCACTCATTCATTTCATAAAATGGTATTGAGTTACTGTGTCCCAGGCACTCAATACAAGAATGAACTGGACGGGATTGGAGTTTACATTTTTGCTTGGTGTGCAAGTGTCTCCATAAGCTGATTCCATCCATACTATTTATCTAAGCTCAGTTTCCATTTTTCACTGTATATCTTCTGTTGTGAGAAAACTTTTCCCTGTGTAGAATGTGCTTACATTTGCTCTTGGGCCCTCACCCTTGTCATTTCCTCTATCTTAAGTTTCACTTCTTAACACTTATTTAAATTTCACCTAGGCTTCATAGCTCAGATCTAGTCAGCTTGATGTGGAAAGCCATCTTTGGCTACTTCAGCTGTTACGAATGTCTTGTGCTTTGTATAATTTACTGTTACATCATATAATTTAATACAGAACTTGATGCTGTTTTGTACTCTTTACCATTGTTTAACATGCGATTGTTTTGCTTATCCAACTAGATCGAACATATAAAAATGGTGATACTACCTATAAAATGGTGATTTTATATGGAGAAATCTGAGAATGTCAATTGCTTGAAGGCAAAGACTGAGTCTCATACTTGTCTTAAATGTCCTCTCTCTGCCAGGGACGTAAGCTCTTGTTGACTGACCAGGGAGGTGTTCCTGTTTTCCCTCCTTGGCAGCAGCAGCAGTCACATTTCAGGGCTGTCTTTGTGTCACAAACATTTTCAGTCATTCTGCTGTGTGATTTAGGGAGGAGCACAAGAGTGCGTGGACCCGGTGGTTGCTCAGCTGTTCAGGGACTTTTTTTTGCTTCTTTACACTTGATTAATTACTCTTCCTATGTGTTAGCTTAGGTTCATGGCCACGTTCCAAAGAGCTGAAGATGCTGAAAGTTTCTCCTCCAGGACAGTGAGGTAATAGTCTATACATTTATTTTTGAATTTTTTAATATTACAGAAAGGAAAACTTCATACTTACAGTTTGCCAGAGGTACAGATCTATGTAGGAGGTTTAAGTCTTGTCTTTGAATACAACTACTAGCAACACTGGGAACAGCATCTAGCTATTAGGGCTTCCGGTCTAGAGGTCTTATTACCATAAAGAAGTAGATTCCAGGTGTGAAATCTCCTAGGGTTCTTTTTAAAAACCAGATCTATCTTTGTTTTGAACAACTGCCTAAAAAGAAACCAAATGTCCTGCCTCTACCATCTCCTCCTGCCCCCAAGAGTCTTGCAACTTTCATTCCCAATTCCTAGCCATCTTGGTGGGGGCTTAAGGCTAGGGACATATTCCATAAACACCATGAAGATAGTGGCGCCAAAGAAGACCAAAGCCCAAGCAGCCACTATCTTCAGGTTCCAACTGAGAACAAAGTAGAAAAGAGCTGTCAGGATACCAATGGACCTGGAAAATGACTATGGGCAGGAAAAAGTCAAATGTCCAACAAGCCAATAGGTGGCCAAGTGCACAACCTGAGAGAAGTCTTCTGTGTCAACCCTAAGTTGGAGCACCTCCCTAGGCAGGATTGCTGCCCAGAGTAACAACAG